TTGGGTCTGTATCCTGGTCTCTTGTTTCTCCTGCTTTATCTTTGTGTAGACTGTGATGGTCTGTTATCTCTGAGGCATTGTGATATTTTTGTGTTTATATTTAATTGGTGATTGTATGCTTTACTGATTTGCCCATGGTTTTCGTTTTCTTTGTTTTGTTTGTATGTTTTCTACATAAGCTCCTCTGTTTGCTAGTTGGCAGCATTATACCCTCACCACCTGTCCCCTTTCCCATATGTCCCTGTTGACTTTGGCAAATGGAGCCTATTCTTATGTCTCTGGGATCCGAATGAGAATGCTGTTACTTTAAAATCCCAAATGGCCACCTCTTGTAAACATTCAAAATGGCTGCACCCTCTAGGCAGCCAAAAATCCACAGCTCAGGTTGTCTCCCTCCTTGCTGTTTCCCTTCCTAGTCATAGGCCACCAGTGCAGTCATCCCTATAGCCCTTGGTGACTAGGGGTGATCTTTAGGTCAATTCTCAGGTCCCAACACCACTTGGAAGTATTCAGGCTGTTCGTCCCATCAGAGTAGCTGACAGTCCACTGCTCCAACCACTCCATACTCATTTTTTTTTTCGTTCAGATTTTTCTAGTAGTTCATTCCTAATCCACTTCTGTATACATACTCGTATATTTGAATATATCTTCAAAGCTTAGGGCTCCAGGATTCTCTTTTGTATCTCTGTCAGTTAGTTTCACTTTTCTTTGTTGAAGAGGCTCTGTTTAGCTTGTCTGTCTATTCCTCCATCTTACCGGAAGTCCTCCATTTCATTTTTGACAACTTCCAATATTCCTCAATTCATAATTGGTACATTCCATGTTTTGATTATTAATGAATGTTTACAGCTGTTTATTCCCATTTTGAGTCATGCCATATCAGCAAATGGAGATCCTCAAACCTTATTCCATCCACATAATTAAGGTCAGCTCTACTTTGAGGAGATAGCTCTTCCCTAGTCGTATTTTGAGTGCCTTCCAATCTGAGGGGCTCATCTTCTGGCCCTATATCAAACAATGTTTCACTGCTGTTCATAAACTTTTCTAGTCATATATCAGACAGTGTTTCAGTCCTATTCATAAGGTTTTCAGTGGCCAGTTTTTTTTTTTTTTTTTTTAAGTGAGTAGTCCCATCCTTCTTCCTTGTCTGTCTTAGTCTGGAAGCTCTGCTGAAACCTGTTCACCATCCATGACTCTGGTGGTATTGAAATACTAGTGGCATAGCAATATGTAAGCCACCACAGTACAATAAACTGGCAGATGAATGGTGGCTATTATAATAGCTACTAATTGCGTTTTTCCTTGCTATTGAGAAGAAGTAGTAGTATTCTGTGATCTTGATCTTAACTTGATTCCTTTCAATTCCTTCGATGATTGATTGTTATGAGAACTATAGGAAAATGACAGAAAATATTAATAGCTTTATAACTTATTGGTCTTTTGACATCTCTTCCTTGCCCCATGTTGGTTAGTGGTAATTTAGGAGTATTCCAGAGATGAGAGGTGGGGAAACATCTTATCTTAGCCTCAGGGATGTGTGTGTACTGTGGTCATCATTCATTGAATTTTAGTTGATCCTAGACTGTTTAGATCTTAAAATTTTTTAGATCTAAAATTTTTAGATCCTAGGCTAAAATTCAGTGAATTTTAGTGTGTCCAAGACTTTGAGCAATCAGAGACTGAAAGATCCCTGCTCATGAAAATCTCTCCTAAGTTTCTTAGCATCGTAATAGTTTACCGTACAAATTTATAAGCTCTTTGTAACCTCTTCCAGTTGCCTTTAGTGTTTTTCCATCATTGCATCTTTCTATATTTTGCCTAAAATAGCCCTGGTTGCACAGTGGTTAAGCATTAGGCTGCTAACTGAAAGGTGGAGAGTTTGAACCCATTAGGCACTCCATAGAAGAAAGATGTAGCAGTCTGCTTCTGTGAAAAATTACAGCTTTTGAAACCCTGGGGGGCAGTTCCACTCTGTCCTGTAGAGTTGCTATGATTTGGAGTTGACTTGGGTGATGCATTATACGTTGCTTTGATCTAATTCATGTTTTGATGCGTTAGCTAGATGATGAACTACTCATGGTCAGTGACCCTGTCTTATACCTATGTCCTAGTAATATGTGGACAGAATGGTACTAAGAAAATGCTCATCTGATTTTCACTGATCCTGGGCAGTCAAGGACATCAGAATAAATATTGTAAACTTAACGTGTTTACAATAAAGCAGTGTAATTACAGTAATGCTATTCTGTATTTTTCTTTAAACAGTAAGTATTTTTCTTTAAACAGTTTAATAGATTACAAAGGATTAATAAATAATTCTTTCCCCAATAACATTTTTATTTCTCCTTCTCTCAGAGTCTTTTTGTTCACTGAATTTTTGCTTCGCATTTTCTTCTCTTCACACATTGGTTATTTCATGATATTATACTCTTGACATTTAAAATTTGGTTTTGGCATTATTTGTTTCACTGTTGCATAGTAACATTTTTTTTCTTTGCAACTATCTGCTTATTTTAAGGTGTGTAGTTTTCCAGTGGCATAGAATCCTTTCATGTCTTTACTTGCCTTAAATGCTAATCTAAGTATTCTGGTTACCTAGTGCTGCTCTGACAAGAAGTATACCACAAATGGGATGGCTTGAACAAACAGGAGTTTATTCTCTTACAGTTTGGGAGGCTAGAAGTCTGAGTTCAAAGTGCCAGGCTCTAGGGGCTGGGTGAAAGCCCTTCAGCCTTGGGCTTCAGCTCTGCTTCCAGCTCCCAGCTCACTGAAGCTAGAGGCTTTTCTTCACTTAGCTTCTGGGTGCTGAGGCTGCCAAGTAAAAAGGCACAGCCCTGATATACCAAATCACACAGCAGGCCATTAATTCAAGTCCATTGGAAGTTCCAAGGTCGGCAGAGCATGGCAGGCTGCTGAACAATGACACAACTGCTTGCAGGGTCCAAGCATGCCATTTACTAGAGACCATTCCCAAAGCTGCTGCTTATATTCGGGAAGCAGACCACAGACCCAAAGCAGCTACTCAGCTGCTTGTGGTAGATCCCACCATGGAGTTGACTGCCATTCTCATCATGGGGAATAACTATCATCAGCTGCCCAGCCACTCAACCAGGCCTAGCCAATCTGACATAAAAATTTAACTACCACACTAGGTTCTTTATGTGTGGCTTCTTTTTTCCTTCATAGACTTCATGTCTTGTCTTTAATGAGTACTGGATAAATACAGAAAGAGAGAATTTTATCCACTTGAATATTTTAAGCATATTAGTTTCACTGTTACAGTCATACTAAGAAATAGATTGTCTTAAAATCATTCATTTTATAAAGAATTAGTAAGCCCTTTTTTTAGTAAGTGAGGAAAATGGAAAAGAGTAGTAACAACTCGTCCAAGGTACTTAAGTTTTGATACTAGCCTCATTTACTCCAAGCCTGAAACTCTTCCTACTGCATGTACTTGAGATTCTCTTCCTTGCTCTGACAGTGAACCTGGACCTGCCTTGTGCTCCATGAAAATGGGAGATAGAGAATTCACTTCCTACACAGTAATGAAGATACCTCACCCTCAGGGAAAATGCACAAGCCCATCAGACCCATTGTCCATTTCTGCCTATTCATAGAGCAAGAATAAAATAATTACCGGCAAAAATCTAAAACCTGGACTCATCTCCATTAACATGGAAGTCAGGAAAGTAAGGAATAAGATGTGATCTCAGCTGGTATGCCCATTCCATTTCACTTACAGATAAGATTTTGGAAATAAACAGCAGGCTGATGTTGCTATTTGAGAGAACAGGAAAAAATATTCCCAGATCAAACTACAGAATTGGCTACTGTGCAAGCTAATTAATAATTAAAAATACAATAGAATGATTTTTAGGAGAAAACTATGAGGAATGTTTTGCACAGTATTTATGGCCTCAGATGTCCCTTAAGTTTACAAAATGTGGTCTCATGAACATAGCGCATGGTGGAATTTGCTTAATGTCTGGAATGAGAGTGAAAAGAGTTTCATCTGTCATTTGTGTGTGTATTTATTCAGCAAAAATTAATTGGGCACCTATTACATATATCGGGCACTGGACTAGTCTCATGATAAACTGTTAAGGAAACAATGGGAGGGACTGAAATATAAATAAGTTATTAAAATATTTACAATACTTTATGTGGGCATCTTTTTGCAGTCTTTTTTATATTTGTATGAAATCTGGATTATGTCAGTAATTCTGCTAACAAGCACATGGCTCTCAGTATGTGTTATCTTAGGAAAAGCACTCAATCTCCTGCCAAGAACCTGTTCCTCTGTCATAAGCTAGGTAGGGGCCTGGAAAATAGATTCTGTTTTCACCACTATCTCCGTACAAAACCAAAACTAAGCTCACTGCCATCCAGTCGATTCTGACTCATAGCGGCCCCCATTGGTTTTCTGAGGCAGTAAGTTTTTACGAAAGTAGATTGACCCATCTTCTTTCCGCTGAGCATCTGGTGTGTTTGAACCACCAACCTTCTGGTTAGCAGTCAAATGCCTTACGTGCTGTGCCACCAGAGCTCATATTTAGTTTCTTGATAAGATAAACAGTTTTATTTACATATTTGTCCTGTGTGCTAAAATGTAGCAATTTAACAAGTTTCTAACAACTTACTGTCTTCAGTATATTTTTAAATAAGACTCTCCCTCCTCAACCTTTTTCATGTCATTTTCTGTGATGATGATGTTTAAATACTTCCTAAGTATTTACCATTATTATTAGCAGTAGTATTAATGGTATTTTTGGCATTATTTTTAGTGGTCAATAGTAGTATCCATACTTCTGCCCTAGATGTTGCCTTTCAGAAATCAAATAACTGTAAGGAAATGATGTGATAAGTGTGTGTAGAAAGAGAAATGTTAAGTCTTGTAGTTCTTAAGAACCATCAGCAAATCTTCAGCTCCTTGACTGTTCCTGCACAGAAGCCTATTAGAACCTGTTAATTAACCCTTTGCCTGCTTCATTGCAGGAGGAATGCCAGCTCCTGAGCAGGGCTCTTTGGTGGAGGAGGGGCAACTGCAGACCCGCCAGGAAGCTGCCTCCACTGGCCCAGGCATGGAATCGGAGACCACGGCCACCACTATTCTAGCTTCTGTGAAGGAGCAGGTACAGCCTATTAGTGAAATTCCAATTAATTATTTCTTCAATGCCTTTAAAATTAATCTTTGGATATGTTTTAAATTAGTCTAATATCCTTGACGCCTTCACGTTTTCTAATTATAAGGTATTTACATCCCTGAGTACATTGGGATGACTGGCATGTAGAGCTGCTCCAGGTGCATATCCGGAACATGCAGGATACTTGTGCATCTGCAAGTAAGGACAATATCGATGGTGATCGGTGTCTCTGTCTCTCACACATTGCAGAGTGTGTGCATGCACGCAAAGCTTGTAAAGCATATCTCAAAGTGCTGACTTTTCATGTCAGATCACTGGCAACTTGATGCCTGTAAGATACTTAGGTATTTTGAACATTAACATAGGTACTTTATAGGGTTGTCTTCGTGATTTATTTTGGATGAAGGCTATATTTGTTGTGTTTGTCTGAATCAAAGTATATTCATTTTGTGAGCTAATGTTCTAAAACTTGTCAAACTGTGCCAGTTTGCTTCAGTGTCATGTTTATGTCGATTTTTAAGGTACTAATGCTATTTATGCTTCAAACCTAAGTAGACTAAATTAGATCTTATCTGTTATGCTTAGAGAAAATTGGAATTCTGGAACTTAATTTCTTAAGATTTAAAAGCTTAATACGGTAAATGTAAATTTAAAGCTCCAGGGATAGTTTTCCTTTCTGCCCTCCTTTTAAAAAAAAAAATCAGGATAATTCTGTTGGCATAATCTAATATTAAAGTGTTTTTTTTTCTCTTAAAGCTTGTGTTAAGCTAATGAATTTTTTATTCTCAAGAGATAGAAAAACTTAGAGGTTGTATATGTTTTGAGATGTTCTTTAACAAATCATTATCATCAGTTCAAATGACTAATGATGACAAAGCACAAAGGAATATTTAAGCTAATACCTCATTATTTTACTATTTGCTTAACTTAAGCTAGATATGTGGCATGAAAAATTGCTCCAGAACTATGACATATGTCTGACATTGGAATGTGTTTTCAAGAATGATGATTTCATAGCTCATCCTAGTAGCAAAATGTCAAAATATTTTCCATTCTTCACTGAAATTTGAAGTCTCAGAACATTTTACAAACTAAAAATTTGAGAACACAAGAGAATTATAGTCAGTACTGTTTTTATTTTCCATCCAGTTATAGAATATCTAAGCTTTTATCACTCGTTTTCTTATGTTACTTCAGAGCTGTCCAGATTTAACCCAAGGAGCTGTAAGAAGAGAAGGTTTTGATTTATTGGAAGCTGTTAGCATTAACTGCATTTTGATGAAAAATGAGGGTAAATTTATCAAAATGACCAAAGCTGACTTAAAGCTAGAACTGTGTGTAGTAAACAGAGCAACAGGAATTTTATGGTTTGTACTTTGAAACCAGATAATCTGCTAATTAAAGAAAATATGGAAACCTATTATGAATATGGGAGCTCTGGTAGCATAGTGCCTAAGGCACTTGATTGCTAACCAGAAGGCTGGCGGTTCAAACCCATCAGCCACTCCTCAGAAGGAAGATGGGGCAATCTACTTCTGTAGTGATACTGCCTCAGAAACCCAAGTAGGGGTTGCTATGAGTTGGGTCTGACTTGACGGCACATAACAACAAAAAAAAATTGTGAATATGGCCCTAGAATTCCTTGATTATGTTTTGTATGAAAACAACATTTTTTGAAAGAATGCATAATTATTTTTTTAAAAAAAAGTCTCATTGCCATGCAGTATTTGTAGCCATGAGGTAATGATAGCAGCTCCATTGGTTTCAAAGAGCAGACCATGTTTGGTGGCAGTTATTTCTCAGGAAGGTTATTTTCATTAGCGTGCAAAATGAAGGGACCCTTTCAGTGTGACTCAATAGGTGGTCTGGGTTTCTGTCCTGGCTACTGATAGGAAGGCATCTCTGTTTCTCTATTTTCTCATCTATAAAATGATATGGGCATAATAAAAGCTGTTATGAACATGAAATTAACATATGTAAAATGCTTACAATAGTGCTGATGCCTTGTAAGTACTCTTCTTGTTGTTGTTATATGCCATCAAGTCAGACCCGACTCATAGTGACCCCCTCCTTGGATTTTCCAAGGCAGTATCACTACAGAAGTAGATTGCCCAACCTTCTTTCTGAGGAGTGGCTGTGGGGTTTGAACCACCAGCCTTTTGGTTAATAGTCAAATGCCTTAGGCCCTATGCTACCAGAGCTCCCATGTACTCTTAGTAAGGGCTAATATTATTTCTATCATCATTTCTGTATAAGAAGAAAATACTCTTTTTAGGATTATCTGGTAGTTCTATTTTTCAGTATATATATGCATTCAGCAAACTTTCTGTTGTACGTTAATATCAGAGGGCAAAAGCATTCTGAATATATAGCGATGTCTGCATGGCATTAAACTTCAAAAGTTTACCATACTGGTCTCACAAATTAGAACAGTTTCATGTATATGAGACATGTTGTTGTTGTTATGTGCCATCGAGTCAAACACAACTCATAGCGACCCCTCCTTGGGTTTCCCAGGCAGTATCACTACGGAAATAGATTGCCCCATCTTCCTTCCGAGGAGTGGCTGGTGGGTTTGAACTGCCAGCCTTCTGGTTAGCAGTCAAGTGCCTTAGCCACTGTGCTACCAGAGCTCCTGTATATATGAGACATAGAGGATGTGAAAAATGATTTTGTTGACATGCTAATTTAGGGCAACTCCAAACATAATGTCAAGTCATTTGGTTAAAGAATGGCAATGCATGGTCTTTGAACACTGTCCTAAATTTTAACAGATAAAGTCAGGGTTCTCTCTGAGCAAAGTACATACAGCCACTGAAGTAGCTCACGCATACTCCCTCATGGGCAATTCATGGTAAGTAGTGAGAAAAGAAATGATAAGCAACCAGTAGGAGTCTTGTAAACAAATCACTAGTCTGTTAAATATATGAAACTGAATTTGTTGTTGTTGTTGTTATATGCCAGCGACCCCTCCGTGGGTTTCCAAGGCAGTATCACTATGGAAGTAGATTGCCTCATCTTCCTTCTGAGGAATGGCTGATGGGTTTGAACCGCCAGCCTTCTGGTTAGCAGTCAAGTGCCTTAGACACTACTCTACCAGAGCTCCCGAAACTGGATTTAGGGTGGCATAAAAACAGTTAATTCTTCTTCCATTTCCTTAGCATCCTCCTATGCCAAGAGCTGTCCCTTGTTCTTTGGCATAGTGCTGGAATGACATTTTCTCTCTTTTATGAAGTGATAACCTTTCACATTTGATGTCAGTCACATAGATGCATACCTACACAGATATGGGAAAAATTTCTCTTTGGCAGGTAGAAAAAAAGAGCCTTCTTCTGTTCAAATGCTAACTCCTTCATGAAGACATGTCACCCCAGCCTGAAGTCAAATTTCTAGTCTGACCTACTTCAGTGCTTTATAACAGTGCTATGACTCTTTTATTCTTAGTGGTTACCATGAATATTACATTTAAGAACTTGTATTTATAACATTCTAGGGTAAGTTTGTACGTACTTAACTTAAGTAACGTACCATTCCTTCCCCTCTTTTGTTATTATTTTTATTAATTGTGTCTTTATATTTCATGTGCCCTGTAACATAATTTTATCCTTGACTTTTATATATTTGCTAGTTGAAAAACATGAAGGAGAAACATTTAGATTATCAAGCATGAATACCTTCTTTTACTAACTCTTATACTTGCCCATGCATTTCCTTTTATTAGGGACTTTTCTTTTTAAGTATAGCTTTGAATTACTTTCTAGTGTCTTTTCCCTTCCATCCACAGAACTCCTATAAGTATTTTTTGAGGGCCACTCTGGTGGATCTGTAAAGTCTCTTTGCTTTTGTTTGGCAGTGAGGGAATTTTATCCTCATTCTTGAAGCATAGTTTTGCTGGGTATGGTATTCTTGGTTGAGTTTTTCTCTTTCAGCACTTTGAATCTGTCATTCCTTTGCCTTCTGGCCTCCAGTGTTTCTGAGGAAAGATCAGCATTTAATCTTATTGTATGTGACTGTTTGCTTCTCTTTTACTGCTTTCATGATGCTCTCTTTATCTTTAACTTAGAGAACCTAACTATGTTATCTCTTGGTGTAGATCTCTTTGGATTTATACTGCTTTGGGGGTTCTTTGGGCTCCTTGGATTTGTAGATTCATGTCTTTCAGTAAATTGGAAAATTTTTTTCTCATTATTTCTTCAAATATTCTTTCTGTCTCTCCTTATTATCTCTCTCTGGAATTCCCATGATGCATATATTAGGTCCCTTCCTATTGTCCCATAATTCCATTAAACTGTGCCTAGCTTTTATAAGCCTCTGTTTTTGTTGCTCTTCAGCATCTGTAATTTTATTTGTCTTATCCTCTAATTTGCTTATTCCTCTGCATTAAATTTATAAATTGTTTATATATGAAACAAATTTATTATTAAAGTTGTTGGTAAGTCATTCTGTTGTGTTTCTCATTTCAGTTTAGTATCTTTTTCTAGATCCTCATTTTGTTCTTCCATTATTTTCTTTATTTCTTTTAGCTCTTTGTCTAATGTTTCCTTTAGTTTTTTCATTACATTTAATATTATTGTATTATATTATTCCTTTTTTTTTTCATAATTTGGTCAGCCCTAGATGGGCTTTCACACCCTTAGTCATGTTTATTCGAATGGACTATTTTTCCCTGTTCCCTTTTTGTCTTGTGATTTTTTGTTGGGGCTTTGGAATTTCCAAGGTGTTACTTTCTCAGTTTTTCCAATTTATGACTGTACTGCGTTCTGCAAGAAACTAAGGTGGGCAGAGTCTTTGGCCTTTGCTTACTATTTCCTGTTGCTCTTGTGATAGATGGCTCTTTCTCCCTCCCTAGTTTAATTGGTATTCAGAAGTTTCAGATCTTGTTTTTCAGCCTTCAGTCTTTCTGAAACACAGCAGAGAAAATGCTATGGTCAGTTTGTCAGTCCACTCAAACAAAAAACAAACTCAGTGCCATCGAGTTGGATCTGACT